GGCATACCAGCTTTCTCCTGCTCGATTTGAAGCCGCTAGAATTTTTGAGTATATATACGTCAAACACAGTGGATCGTAAGACGTATGTACACGACCGAAACAGTCAAAGGGTTAACCCTTTGACTGTCGCAAGCCCATTTCTGAAACTGTCATTCTATGTTGCAAAATTTTTGGAAAAAAGAAAAAATTCTTTTTTCTAGTGAAATGATAGAGAATCTTTTCCTGATGGTAATGACACCAAACGTACAAAATTTGATCGAAAACTTACGGAATTACGCTCCTGCAAAGTTAGCAATCTCGGCAATACATAGATATCAGCGATTTTCCCAACCTTGAGCCCTATTTTCGGCCAATTCCATTGTTCCAGTCAGCCAAACTCATAGCTATTTCTTTAGAACTCCATTTTTTTTTTCTATCAACTGAGTACAAGAAATTGCCCATTTACCAATTTCAACTACCTGATAAAATGGTCAGAATTTGGCAATTTGGCCAATTTCACACAAATTAAAAAAGATGCCAATTTCAAAATAAGGTCCAAAATAAATAATGCAGATATTCTTGGCACTAAAATAACATCCTCTGTTCATTAGTCATGTCTCCAGGCCCCTCTTATATTACTACTGCTTTCTATTTTGATTTTTTATTCACACAAAAAATAGAAGATTTACTGTTATGCAGGCTACTGCATTATTATAAAAATTATATAAATAATATCAGTGCACTAGTGAAAGAATATCAGACTCTTCAGTTGATGTGTATTGGACATGTGGTGTGATTTGCTTACTTTTGAACATTGGTAAAAATCGAACATTTCCACTACTTTGAGCTCAATTTCAAGGTTGTTTTCGTGAAATTAATCAAAATCATCTCAATTTCTGTAATATGTTTTCCATTCTATCAAATGACACCAAGAAAACAAAATTTTTTTTTTTTTTTCAACAAGTCGGCCGTCTCCCACCGAGGCAGGGTGACCCAAAAAAGAAAGAAAATCCCCAAAAAGAAAATACTTTCATCATCATTCAACACTTTCACCACACTCACACATTATCACTGTTTTTGCAGAGGTGCTCAGAATACAACAGTTTAGAAGCATATACATATAAAGATACACAACATATCCCTCCAAACTGCCAACATCCCAAACCCCTCCTTAAAGTGCAGGCATTGTACTTCCCATTTCCAGGACTCAAGTCCGACTATATGAAAATAACCGGTTTTCCTGAATCCCTTCACTAAATATTACCCTGCTCACACTCCAACAGATCGTCAGGTCCCAAGCATCATTCGTCTCCATTCACTCCTATCTAACACGCTCACGCACGCTTGCTGGAAGTCCAAGCCCCTCGCCCACAAAACCTCCTTTACCCCCTCTCTCCAACCCTTTCGAGGACGACCCCTACCCCGCCTTCCTTCCCCTATAGATTTATATGCTTTCCATGTCATTCTACTTTGATCCATTCTCTCTAAATGACCAAACCACCTCAACAACCCCTCTTCTGCCCTCTGACTAATGCTTTTATTAACTCCACACCTTCTCCTAATTTCCACACTCCGAATTTTCTGCATAATATTTACACCACACATTGCCCTTAGACAGGACATCTCCACTGCCTCCAACCGTCTCCTCGCTGCTGCATTTACCACCCAAGCTTCACATCCATATAAGAGTGTTGGTACTACTATACTTTCATACATTCCCTTCTTTGCCTCCATAGATAACGTTTTTTGACTCCACATATACCTCAACGCACCACTCACCTTTTTTCCCTCATCAATTCTATGATTAACCTCATCCTTCATAAATCCATCCGCCGACACGTCAACTCCCAAGTATCTGAAAACATTCACTTCTTCCATACTCCTCCTCCCCAATTTGATATCCAGTTTTTCTTTATCTAAATCATTTGATACCCTCATCACCTTACTCTTTTCTATGTTCACTTTCAACTTTCTACCTTTACACACATTCCCAAACTCATCCACTAACCTTAGCAATTTTTCTTTAGAATCTCCCATAAGCACAGTATCATCAGCAAAAAGTAACTGTGTCAATTCCCATTTTGAATTTGATTCCCCATAATTTAATCCCACCCCTCTCCCGAACACCCTAGCATTTACTTCTTTTACAACCCCATCTATAAATATATTAAACAACCATGGTGACATTACACATCCCTGTCTAAGACCTACTTTTACCGAGAAGTATTCTCCCTCTCTTCTACACACCCTAACTGAGCCTCATAAATACCATATAAAAATACACCTCAATTACAGTGTTTTAATCCAAAAACGCGTTTTTTTTTTCTCATTTGGTGCTGCATGCCGCAGGATATTTTTTATACAGTGCACACTGACCACACATGACTCTCACATGTGGGCCTACCAGCTCTCTCCTGCTTGATTTGAAGCCACTAGAATTATTGAGTGTATCATACATCCGAAACACTGGCTCGTAAGATATATATATATAGCCGATACAGTCAAAGGGTTAAATTATGGTGAATCAAATACAAAATGGGAGTTGACAGTTATTTTTTGCTGATGATACTGTGTTTTTGTAGGATTCTAAAGAAGAACTGCAAAGGTTAGTGGACGATATTGGGAGGATGTGAAAAGGTAGAAAGTTGAAAGTGAACATAGATAAGAGTAAGGTGATGAGGGTTATGAAACAATTTAGATAAAGAAGAGGGAGGGAGTATGGAAGAAGTGAATGTTTTCAGATATTTGGGAGTCGAGTTGTCAGCGGATGGGTTTAAGAAGAATGAGGTTAACCATAGAATTGATGAAGGAAGAAAAGGTGACTGGTGCACTGAGGTATCTGTGGATACAAAAAATGTTATCCATAGAGCCAAAGAAGGGAATGTACGAGAGTACTGTGGTACCAACACTCTCATATGGGTGTGAAAAATGGGTTGTAAATGCTGCAGCGTGGAGGCAGCTGGAGGCAGTGGAGATGTTCTAAGGGCAATGTGTGATGTAGACATTATGCAGAGAATTTGTAATGTGGAAATTAGGAGGTGTGGAGTTACTAAGAGTATTAGTCAGAGGGCTGAAGACGGGCTGTTGAGGTGGTTTGGTTATTTAAAGAGAATGGATCAAAGTAGAATGACTTGGAGAACATATAAATCTGTAGTGTAAGAAAGGCAGGTTATCCCTGAAAAGGTTGGAGGGAGGGGGTAAAGGAGGTTTTGTGGGCAAGGGGCTTGGACTTCCAGCAAGCGTGCATGAGCTTGATAGACAGGAGCGGAGATAAATGATTTTTGGGACCTGATGAGCTGCTGGAGTGTGAGCAGGTTAATATTTCGTGAAGGGATTCAGGAAAACTGGTTAGCCGGACTTGAGTCCTGGAAATAGGAAATACAATGCCTGCACTTTGAAGGAGGGGTTTGGGATATCGGCAGTTTGGAGGGACATCTGGACTGTTGTGTCTGAGCACTTCTGCAAAGACAGTACATAATTATGTATGAATGATGGTGAAAGTGTTTAATGATAAGTTTTTTCTTTCTTTTTTTGGGTCACCCTGCCCTGGTGGAAAATGGCTCACATGTTTAAAAAAAATTTGTGTCAGTTACGGAAGGTTTGATAGGGGGCAATGTGTGGTGTGAATATAATGCAGAGAATTTGTAGTTTGGAAATTAGGAGGAGGTGCAGGGTTACCAAAACTATTATCCAGAGGGCTGAGGAGGGGTTGTTGAGGTGGTTCGGACAAGTAGATGTTGGAAAAAAAAAGAATGACTTCAAGAGTGTATAAATTTGTAGTGGAGGGAAGGAAGGGTAGGGGTAGGCCTAGGAAAGGTTGAAGGGAGGGGGTAAAGAAGGTTTTGTGTGAGAGGGGTTTGGACTTCCAGCAAGCATGCATGAGCGTGTTACATAGAAGTGAATGGAGACAAATGTTTTTTACGACTTGACGTGCTGTTGGAGTGTGAGCAAGGTAACACTTATGAAGGGATTCAGGGAAACTGGCAGGCCAGACCCGAGTCCTGGAGATGGGACGTACAGTGCCTGCACTCTGAAGGACGGGTGTTAATGTTGCAGTTTTGTAACAGTAGTGTAAGCGTACCTCTGGCAAGACAGTGATGGAGTGAATGATGGTTAAAGTTTTTCTGTTTTGGGCCACCCTGCCTTGGTGGGAGATAGCCCATGTGTTAATAAAATAAAATAAAACCTTAGAGCAGTAATCTGTCTAAGAGAGGCTATTATCACAAAACACAAATAACCCCCACACAAAAAAGAGAAGCTTAAGACAATGCTTCGGTCCGTCTTAGGCTAATTACAAAGTCACACTGCAACTTTGTAAATGGTCCAAGGAGGACCAAAACGTTGTCATAAGCTTCTCTCTTCTATGTGCAGGCTATTTGCTTTATTCCAGTCATGGTATTATGCCTTTTTGTTCTCTGAGGCTTTTATCATTTACATTATGTCTACAGGGAAAGGAAAAAGGATACTACCAGCTGGTCAGTGCGATTACCTATCAATGTCACAACAAAATTACGCGAGCCTATTACTTTAGTATACTTCTCTTCATTTACAGCATTCCATTAAAATGCATCACTCCTCCCAAGACCAACATACTGAATACAGACATCTTCCTATCTCTTTAATCCTCCTTTTCTGCTATCATTTTGAATCTCACTGAATTCAGTAATTTTGACTGATATACATATCAAAAAACACCTTATAATAATTTTGAATAAGCCAGGTTGCCAATACAGTGGACCCCCGGTTAACGATATTTTTTCATTCCAGAAGTATGTTCAGGTGCCAGTACTGACCGAATTTGTTCCCATAAGGAATATTGTGAAGTAGATTAGTCCATTTCAGACCCCCAAACATACAAGTACAAACGCACTTACATAAATACACTTGCATAATTGGTCGCATTGGGAGGTGATCGTTAAGCGGGGGTCCATTGTATTCTAGTTTAATATAATATGAATTATTAAGAGGTTTACAATTTTGTGACTGGGGATTCAAAAGCAAACAAATAATTTCATACATACATGCCTGAATTTTCTCATCATTTTCCTATGTTCCTTAATTTTTTCAATTGGCAGAACACTTCCTTGAACTGTTTCTTCTTCCTCAGCTGTGATTTCAGGAGATGGTACTCGTGATCTTCTATAAATCCTAAGGTCCTGCCCACAAAATTGTGGGAAATGAAGGTAGTCATTACCATCACGGTCCTGGCCAAGGTGATATTCCCGTTGATCTGACTCAGTCTGCTCTGCAATAACTTCCTGTACGGTCTTGTGATTGTGCTAGGGATATTAAAAAATAAGAATATAAGGATTTCTGTGAAACAGATGCTTGATACTAACAATGACATTTAATACTACTGTACTTTATTAATTTTCAAATATTGTAGTATATACAAAAATTACACAAAGTAAATTGAGCTAAGTAAATAAATAACAAATATACAATGTGTATGTACGTGTCCATGTGGAAATGCGAGAGCAAAAGAAATCTGTTAAAACTGGAAAAGTAGTAGAAAACAAGAAATACATGAACTTACTAAGAGGAAATCACAGAGGGACTTCAGTAACCACACTCGCTGATGATACGTCATCTCATGGAAGAGTTGGCGATCAAAAGGATTTGTAGGGCCACACACACACCAAAACTGAGGTTCAATCCCCATTTGGTCAAAGACCTGTTATTGGTACAAAGGAAGGTAATATGCTTATGGCTACAGATTTGAAACATTTCAATGAAATTATGATCTTAAGATTAATAATTATACTAATAAAAATTCAAAATAGAAAGCAAGAGTAATATCAGAGGGGCCTGGAGACATGACTGATGAACAAAGAAAATGTTATTTTAGAGCCAGGAATGTCTGCATTGTTCATTCTGGACCTTATTTTGAAATTGTCATATTTTTTAGTTTTTGTGAAATTGGCCAAATTGCAAATTTCTGACCACATTATTAGGTAGTTGACATCAGTAAATGGGCAGTTTCTTGTACTCAATCGATAGAAAAAATGGAGTTCTAAAGAAATAGCTATGAGTTTGGGCGACTGGAACAATGGAATTAGCCGAAAATAGGGCTCAAAGTGGGCGAAATCGCCGATTTGTAAACAGCACCGAGGTCGCTAACTTCGCGAGAACGTAATTCTGTCAGTTTTCCATCAAATTTCGTTTTTTTTGGTGTCATTACAATCGGGAAAAGATTCTCTATCATTTCATAAGAAAAAATAATTTTTTTTTTTTAAATTTTGCGACACCAGGAGACACCTCAGGATTGGGGGTTGCGACAGTCAAAGGGTTAATATCTATATTTAACACAAATGTAAGATAACACAAAAACAGTATGTGCATTTTCAATGGTCTGTTATGAGCCCCAGCTTTAATTTATAATTCATATGCTATGCTTCATATCATCTCCAATACAATCTATGCAAAAGAATCAACACCCAGCAACTATTTCAATCCAATTACACAATCCCACAAATCTGAAATAAAATCTCTACAATGCTTCATTTTGACCCAAATCATTATCAGGTCACAAGGTACAGTACAGTACTAGTCAATCATGGACCACTTTTCATTTCTAATTTGCAGTAATGATTTGTTGCAACCACAGTATTACTGCATTTATACTTTATTACATAACACCAACTTCAGAAACACACAACCATATTAAAAATCCTTTAAACTACTAACTGTATGTACGAGGACTTCCAAGAGAGCATCTTAATGTACAATAGGGCCCCGCTTTATGGCATTTCGCCTTACGGCATTCCACTAATATGGCAATTTCAAATTATGACCAAAATCTGCTATACAGCAAAGTCTTTCAAATACGGCGTGCCCATCCAGTTTGTTTACATTCTCCGTGAGCACATATCTCTATTACATTTGGAAATTTTCCAAAATTTCATGAGTTTTAAAGTTATTGCATATTTTATATGTACTCTGATAATTATACTTATGTGTACTAGTACCTAAATATGCTTACACATTGTGCTGGCATACAGGTACACATTAAAATCACTAAAAGTGTCTCTACTCTTGATGCCATATTAATAATAATACAGTGGAACCTCTACTTGTGAGCGCATCCACGTGCGAGTTTTTCCAAATACGAGCAGTCGATGAATCGATTTTTTGTTTCCATACTCGAGCAAAATTTCCACAAGCAAGCAGACCTCAAGGCAGGTTCCTTGATGCTGGTGAAGAGCTCTTGCTCTTGATCTAGGGAATTGTATCTCATTTGTCTGTTGGACTATCTTATTGAAACTTGGGCAATGTATGATGGAAAGATGCTTCTTAACGTACACCAAAAATGATGAAATCTAAGCATAAATAATGGAGTTCACTTCTCAGCAATTAGCCACCCCTTAGCGATATTTTTGTATGGTTTTTATGGTTGTATTCTCGTTTTTTTTTTCTCATCTGATAGAATGGAAGATATATTACAGAAATAGATATGATTTTGATTGCTTTTACGACAAAAAGTACCTTGAAATTGCAGTCGTGAATGGGTTGACATTATTTATACAATTATTGCAATATGGCATAACAGTAAATCTTATATTTTTTGTGTGGAGATGTCATGTCTGAGGGCAATGTGTGGTGTGAATATAATGCAGAGAATTTGTAGTTTGGAAGTTAGGAGGAGGTGCGGGATTGCCAAAACTGTTGTCCAGAGGGCTGAGGAAGGGTTGTTGAGGTGGTTCAGACATGTAGAGCGAATGGAGCAAAACAGAATGACTTCAAGAGTGTATCAGTCTGTAGTGGAAGGAAGGCGGGGTAGGGGTCGGCCTAGGAAAGGTTGGAGGGAGGGGGAAAAGGAGGTTTTGTGTGCGAGGGGCTTGGACTTCCAGCAGGCATGCGTGAGCGTGTTTGATAGGAGTGAATGGAGACAAATGGTTTTTAATACTTGACGTGCTGTTGGAGTGTGAGCAAGGTAACATTTATGAAGGGATTCAGGGAAACCGGCAGGCCGGACTTGAGTCCTGGAGATGGGAAGTACAGTGCCTGCACTCTGAAGGAGGGGTGTTAATGTTGCAGTTTAAAAACTGTAGTGTAAAGCGCCCTTCTGGCAAGACAGTGATGGAGTGAATGATGGTGAAAGTTTTTCTTTTTCGGGCCACCCTGCCTTGGTGGGAACCGGCCAGTGTGCTAATAAATAAATAAAACAGCTTCAAAAGGCCATCACTATATGGCAGTGTTTACCACAACATAGAGGGAGCGGTTGTGGCCGCCTCCACCTGTTACATAATGGCATATTTTATTCATTCTAGAGTATATATCAGGTTTCTGTGTTACTTATATTGTTTATTATATCATATTTGATGAACTGTGATAGATAAATAAGCCATAGAAGTTGATGATAGTGAAATATTTAAGGGGTATTTTGTCCTGTCTCCAGACAAACTCTCGTCCACCACTGACACTGCCAATACCACTACATGAATTACAAATTTTATTCATTCTAAAGTATATATATCAGGTTTCTATGTTATTTATATTGTTTATGTCATATTAGATGAAGTGAGATAGATAAATAAGCCATAGAGTTGATATTAGCGAAATTATTGAAGCACAGAATTCCACTGGAACGGATTTACTGCATTTCAATTAATTTAAATGAGGAACACTGACTCTGCAAACGAGCAAATCCAGTTGCGAGCAAGGTCATGGAATGCATTAAACTCGCAAGTAGAGGTTCCACTGTACAGTAGAACCCTGAATTTCAACTTAATCCGTTCAAGGAGCTGGTTCCAAAGTCGAAATGTTCAAAACTCGAAGCAATATTTCCCATAAGAAATAGTGTAAATACAATTAATCCGTTCCAGAAACCCAAAAATATTCACAAAAAACATACATACAATTAGCAATAGATAAACATTTAAATAAACATATAAAATAACATTTTTACTTACCTTTATTGAAGAGTGTTGATGGCATCTGGAAGATAGGGAGGAGTGAGGGAGCACTTATTGTTTGGAAGGGGAATCCCCTTCCATAAAGACTTTAGGTAACAAATCCTTATCTGGGGTTTCTTCCCTTCTTTAAGATTTCCCTAAAATGGGACATGGTTCTGTCACCGAACTTGATGCAGAGATGGCTTGTTTCAGCTTGCTCAGGGTGATATTTTTCAGCATATGCCTGCACCATATTCCACACTGCACAAATCTCCTTAATCTCTGAAGAAGGCACCATCCACCACCACCATCCACCAATACCATCCACCACCACCCCCATCACCACCATGGTAACTTATTTCACAGTCGCACTTAATAAACAAGCAACAAAAACTCAATGAATTAATAGTGAAATATTTGAATGAGTGTTCAGGTTAGTGTTCACTCAAGCATAAACAAAGCCAGACTGGCTCACATTGCCTGTGCGAGGACGCAGACAGCGCGGGCAGGCTGACAAGTCCGGTACCCAGTGGTTTGAAACATTGGGCGCATTCGATACTCGGGACAAAATTGGTTTGAAAAAAGCAGTCGAAACTCGAAGCATTCGATAGCTGATACAGTTGAAACTCAGGGATTTCACTGTACATGTAATTTTTTGGGCGCATTAAATGTTGCATATTATGCTAATAGAGACATCTATGATATTTTTTTCAGAATTATATAATAAACATGTTACATAACATATAAATATGATATATACACCAACGGTATAAAAATTGACAAACATAAGATTTGCTTACCAAGCAGTTGATAAGAGGGTCGGAAGAATTACGTTTTCTTTAGTCAAACACCAGTAACTTAACTAGAAATTTATTACTTTCGTATGCCCTTGTGGGTTTAGTGCTTCTTTTTTATTATGATTATAATAACAACAACTTGTATTAATAACTTGTAATAATAATAATTTGTCAGAGCATCATTCCTTTTAAAAATTACATGAGAATGGAAGTGTTAGTCTATATTTATTCTAATACATGTATACCACTGTGGAGACAACTTGTACACAATGTAAGGTGTTTGCATGAATGTATATGAACCAAGAGCAGACACTTCGTCCATTTGTTTACATGGTGGGGAGGCCAGACGCGCTTCCTACCCTACCTCCAACACGACTTTCTACAAATACGTAAATACTTTTCACCTCACCCTACATTAAAACCATTAACCCTTTCAGGGTCCCCAGGCCCTCTCCCAGACTTGTTCTCAGGGTCACCGAAATTTCAAAAAAAAAAAAAAATGATTTTTTCTTATGAAAAGATAAAGAATATTTTCCTGGTCATAATGACACCAAAAGTATGTAATTTGATGGAAAACTTATGGAATTATGCTCTCGCGAAGTTAGTGGTCTCGATGATGTTGACGCATTGGCGATTTCGACGACTTTGAGCCCTATTTTCAGCCAATTCCAGTGAACTAGTTGACAAAAGTCATAAAGTCATAACTATTTCGCTAGAACTCCATTTTTTCTATCGAATGAGTACAAGAAACCACCTATTTACCGATTTCAACTATCCAATACAGTGGTCAGAATTTAGCAATTTTGCCAATTTCACACAAATTTCAAAATGCCAATTTCCAAATAGGGTCCAGAATAAACAAGAAAGACATTCCTGGCACTAAAATAAAATTTCCTCTGCTCATTAGTAACGTCCCACGCCCCTCTTACATTCTTTTGCTTTCCACTTTGAATTTTTATTCTCACAAAAAGAAGAAGATTTAC